CTGGGGATTGAGCCCAGCACCTCGTGCATGCTAAGCATTTGCTCTATCACTGAGTGGCACTGATGCAGTGATTCTGACACTGTCTTGTCTGGGAGGACAGAGCAAAGGAGTTTTTACTGCTGTCAGAACCCAGCCTTTCACTATGGGAAGAAGGAAAGAGCCTGGTGGAAAGGGGGCAGGTAGGGAAGAACTCGGGTGTGATTTAAACAGGGGGTGTTAGCGTCAACTCGTGATTGGTAAAAAGGGGCCCTGTCCTGGCTCTGTCCACCGCAAGGGCTGGAGGCAATGACACCCCCACCAGTGCTCGGACCCTGATTTCTAGTCCACGTTCTCCATGGACAGGAGCCAGGGCTCGCTGGAGAGACGGCTGAGTCCAGGTTTGGGGTAATGGAAAAACTAGATGGGCATGAAGGAAGTGCTCAAAGGCTCAAAGAACCCACGAGTCCTCAGTGACTTAAATAAAAAGGGCGTAAACTAATGGTGACCCCCCCCAATATGTCCACATGCCAATTCCAAGAACCTGGGGATATGACCTGACCTGGAAGAAGGGTTGTAGCAGATGTAATTAAAGATCCTGAGACCAAAAGGTCATCCTAGATCACACAGCGGGGCCCTCAATCCCATGACAAGTGTCCTTAAAAGGGACGGGGGAGATGTGACAGACAGGAGAGGAAGGGCCACGTGACCACCACAGGGCCGTGAAGCATCCCAGAGTCCGAGGACGCCTTCAGAGGGAGCGGGCCAGCCAAGACCTCGACTTCTGACTCTGGCCTTGAGAACTGTGAGAAAATACGTGTCCCTTGTTTAAAACCCGCCCAGTTTGTAGCAGTTTGTGACAGCAGCTGCAGGAAGTGAACAGAGAGAGAGAGAGGAGACAGAGCGAGGCCAAGATCGCCAATTAATAGGCAGAAAGGAGTTACAGGATTAGGAGATGACCATTCTGTGATTTCAAAGTAAAAACTGATCTAGGCGAGGACTGCTGATGGATGCTGAGTGCGTGGCCTACAGGATCAGACCTTGGTGGGCCTCTGAGAGTCTCTATGTCCAGGGAAAACAGAGATGCCCGGTCCCATCTCTGAAGAGGGTGGAACAGGGGTTCTGGGGCTGGGGAGGCCCTCATCAGCTGGGAAGACCCTCAAGGCACCGTGTCCTCGCCCAGGGCCCCCAGGACGCCCGGGAGAGCTGGCAACACAGCTGGGAGGGTGCTGACCACTCCGCCCACAAGGAGGGCGGCTGACGGCCAGAGGGCAGCTAGGGTACCCCCACCCAGTCCTCCACTCAGACAGAGCAGCTGGCCCAGGGTCCCGGGAAAGCCTCACAGGAGAAAGGAAGCCACCAGGGGAAAGAGACTCTTCAGAGGAAGGAGACTGAGCAAATGAACCATCGTGAGAAGACCCTGCAACCAACAAAGACCACTTGTCTTAGTTTCTTAATTCAGAGGGAAAAAAGAAAAAGAACTCTCAAATGAAAACTGATAGCAAAAACAAATGTTTCACATCACTAGAAGAGTTAGCTTATGAAGATGATGAAATTGAAAAAGTAGAGCAAAAGTCTAAAATGACAGAGAGGAGAAATGAAAAGCGCTAGACCAGCAAGTCCACACCCGCGGGATAATGGCAACTCCACACCCGAGAGATAACGCTCCAGAAGTGGAGAAAACAGAAGGGAGGGAGCTGACAAAGGATGGCTCAGGGTATTCCCAGAGCTGCAGTGAGGGTCCTCGATGGCGGGGCTGCGCCTCCCTGGGTGGGTGGACGGGCGGGGCGGGCACTGGGCTGCGGCCACACCAGCCCAACCTCAGGCCCCAAGGGCAGAAGAGGGGTCTGGGATCCCAGGAGAAACCAAGTGCCCAGAGAAAGGCTTAGGAAGGATGGAGCCACACATGAGTGGTTCTGAGGGAGACTTTTCTAGAATTCTGCTCCATCCGTCTGTCAATTACCTGTGAAGACAGAGAAGACATTTGCAGCTAATGCCTCAAAACTCGCCTCCCATGACACCCAAGGGAAATAAATAAGAGAAAGTCGGGGGACTGGAGATCTCCAGGCCGAAGGGTCTGGGGAGCCGCGGTCAGCAGCATGAAGTCCGAAGGCTCTCGGCGCCCTTCCTTCCTCAGGGAGGCGGGGATGCTGATGCTCTTGGGGGAGACAGACACGGGAGACAACGATTTGAATCCAACAAGGAATCATGCGTGGAAAGTGGAGAAATGAGCTCCAAGAAAAACACCAGGTAACGCACAGCATGGCTCCCTGTAACACTGAGTCAACCGCAAGAATAGTAAATGTCAATCTCGAAATTACACATCCACGTGGGGGCAGGCCGGTGAGCATGGGTGGGAGGAAGGGAGGCAGAACAAATAATCATCTTCTAAAGCAGGTCGCTAGTAGTCTCCACAAATGAAAAATCAAGAAGCATGTGATTCTGCATCACAAAGACAAATACCGAAATCACCAGCTCAGAGAAGTGAAGTGCTGGCCCCTGGATCAGGGAAACAATGCCCGGGGGACACCAACACATCTTGCAAAGGCGACTGTGCATGTCACAGACACTACAGGTAGCTCAAGCAGGTCTCCACCTAGCAGGCTGGCATGACTTTCAGACGGTCAGACCTCCGAGGCATCCAAGGAGCTACAGCTCTGATCTAAGTGCTCCAGGGACTGAAATCCCTGCTACCGAGAAGACAACACACACACGAAAAAGAGCCCCAGTGCAGGGCAAGGCGGCCTGTGCCTGGAGCCCTGGGTCAGATGGGTGTCAGCAAGCAGGAGGCCGGGCCCGCACAGGCACAAGAGATGGAGAAAGATGTGAGAAATGGAGCGGACCGGGGAGAGCACTCTCAGGAGGGGGCTGTGTGTCTTCTGGGAGCTCGGATGGCTTCCACAAACAGCCAGGTAAGAGTATGAACAAGGAGAGTGGAGACCTGACATCACAGGCATCGCTGCTCACTTCTACCTTCGTGTCCTCGGACTCCGCCCATCAGGAGCCACCTTCCCTGCCAAGTGCCTCAAATCTACCACCCTGCTCACTGCTACGGCCACCCGAGTCTCCGACCCTCCCAGCTCAGTTCCCCCACTTCCTGAGCTGGTACAAGGCCCCTCCCAGGCCTGCCTGCTCCGCCAGTCTGCCAGGCAGCCTCATCACTACCCCGTTTTCACACCCGACCACCGCAACTTGTCGGCACTCCTAGAATACTCCCTGCTCTTGCAGCCCCAGGACTGCCGCACGTGCTGTTCCTTTAGAACACATCCCTCCTATGTCCCCGACTAACTCCCATACATCCGTCCCTTCTCCACTCAAGACTCCCTTCCCGGGGAAACGTACATCCCAGATCGTGCCTGTCACAAGCCCTCCTGCTCTCCTTTCCTTCCTTTGTAACTGTGTGCAATTTAACCTTCGTCTGGGTGCTTATCTAAGTCACGGCCACTTCACCTCCTAAGCCAGTCATTCTAAAAGTGGGGCTCCAGACCACACCAACAGCATCTGAGGTGAAACTATTAGACACTCAACGGTCAGGCCACACCCAGACCTACAGAATCAGAAACTTGAGGTGGGAGGCAGCGACCTGTGTTCTGAAAACCCTCCAGGTGATTCGGACAAACACGCCAGTTTGAAAACCACCACCCAGGTGTTCTGCTCCCAGGGGCTCCCAGGACTAAGCACAGGGACAGACAGCAGTAAGGGCTTGACAGACAGCGGTGAGGACTTGATAAGATTTCCTGGTCTACAGAATGGTGGAGAACTCTCCATTGCTCCCTAGACCCCTACTTTTAGAAAAGCCCAAATCAACACTGGGCCTGCCCCAGACCCAAGTTCTCACCCTGGCCTCCAGGCCTTTCTGTATTCAAATCCTGGTCTCTATAGCTTATTATCATCTATGTGACCATCCGTAAATCTGCCTGATTTCTCTTGGCCTTAATTTACTCACCTCTAGAATGGGAACAGTCAAAGTACCTAGCTCCTAGGATTGTTGAGACAATTAAATGAGACAAGGAAACGGACTCACGCACACGTGGGGAAGCGCACAGCATATTCAGGTCTTGTTATCACAGTCCTAACAACAGTTACACAGCTTCGAAGTGATCTTTTCCCTGGAGTCTGTCTTCCGGGCTCAAGACAGGCTCACACTTCAGACTGGCTCTTCCTCCCTTGCAAACTACTCCCACGTAACATGCATCACGGCCTGAAGCCTCGCCTAGCAGCCTAGCAACCAGGGGCCGCTGGAGCTTCCCGGGCTCCACCTCCTAGGACAGCTGGGCTGCACCCGAAAGGCCGCCTCTCAGTCTAGGTGTCTTCCTAGAGCTCAGCCCAAGTCACTTTCCCGAGGCACCCTCACCTCAGCAATCAGATCTTGGGAACTCAACCGGTGAGCGGGTGTTTGGTTTCAGCGTGTAACAGTCTCATGACTAGGAGTCAAACGGAGCTCACACTTGGTCCAATTTTGGTACTTGGTGAAGTATTAATAGTAGCAAGGAAAATACATTCCCACCGAATAGATTTTTTTTTTAAGGAATAGCTTCTGCCTCTAAGAAGACACAGGGTCCACCACATGCCTGCCAAGTGCCCCTCCTGCCCGTCGCCCCGTAGCTGCCGTGAGTGATGACACGAGAAGCGCACCAGCCTAACGGGGCTGGGATCCCCCAAGCTGCGCCTCCGCGCTGGGCCGACCCGCGTCCCTGGGCTCCTGGACCCCCAGGAGTCCGGATCCCTGGGCGCGGGGACCCCCGGGCGTCTGGACACCTGGGCGCGGC